AATTACAAAAATAGTGTGCTGAAAAATAATTGCACTCGGTCAATAAAACAGACGTTTTATAGGGTTTCCTTGAGGGGATCATCAAATTGACAATCAAACTCTATGGTATCGTTGTTTTACCGACGATTTATATACAGGGTGTCCCATTTTAAATAACTTTTTTATTTTTGATCTTAGAAAAAAATGTTTCAGATAAAAGTTGTATGGCTTTGAGGTGAACATAAAGTGGTGTCATTTATAGTGTGACCTTGAATAGTTGCTCGAAGGTCATGTGAAAGTTACCTTTAATTTCTTAAATGGAACCCCCTATTTTTCATTGCATATTCTTGTAATTTATTTCGAGAGCTTTTAAAACACATAGATAAAATGTATTTTGGTTAAGTAAATCTTGAGTTATGAAGCTTGAAAGTTACAGTACCGTCGACATTAGCATTATCCAAGAGGTATCCAAACAATGGCTGAAACCTTTTGAATGTTGTTCAGGATCATGATCTTGACAACATGTGTCAAGGCCAAGGTTGAGAAAGTTACTTTGTAAAAGTAACTAGTTACAGTTATAGTTTTTGTCTCTCAAAAAGTAACTAGTTACCGTTACAAGTTACTGATTCTGAAAAGTAACATATTACAGTTACAGTTACTTAAAAAGTAATGCATCGTTATTTTTCAGTTACTTTTAATAGAGCAACATTAGCATTATAAAAAAAAGATTTACATTTACATATTATATAATTTTATTTTATTCTAAATTTATTTTTATTAAAAAAGAAAAGTAATGCGCGTTTTAATTTAAATATAAACATTTAAATATTTTGCATAATTACAATCAACATTATGATTAGGTGATTGAACGAAAATTTTGCATAATTTTGATTACCAATCTAAGTCATGCTGATCTACTTTACGCCGAAAACGAGAAAAGTTTAAGAAATTTTGATTTTTTTTATATCGGCTCTTAATTTAACATGGCGCGTCAAGAGTTGTCAACTTAAATTAATATTTGCTTCATACAAATTCTGGAATTTTGGTGTGATATTTGTACAAAATAGAATTGATATGATGTGCCGATTACACGGAAAAACAATGTTGAATTTTTAGAATTAGATTATATAAATTATTAGAATGCTATATACCATATGGTCTGAAGCGAATCTTGGTGCCTAATACTAATAATTGTGTGAATCTTTTTATAATTTCCAGTTCAGGTAAATTACGTGCCTAATATTTGTCTTTCTATAAGAGAGGTCCAGGTTCAAATCCTGATTGAGGTAATATTTTTTTGCAATAAGTTATTTTACAGAATTTAATAAGATGCTTATTGCAGGCATCAAAATTATTAAATTACTTGCCAATTTAATTTGTAATACTGTGTAGTTCAGAGTCGGTTTGGAGCTGTGTTTCAAGCCCAACAAATATTCGGTGCACAGTTTACCTGAACTGGAAATTGTAAAAAAATTTACACAATTATTATTAAAAGTGCCAAGATCTACTTCAGACCACATATGGTATTCTAATAATTTATATAATTTGTTTAATAATTTATGTAGTTTGAACTTTCGCGGTTGATTAATAAATTTCACATATTAATATCTTGGAATTAGGCTCAGATATCTAATAAAAAAGATCGGTATGCTTGAAAATTTGTGCGCATGTGCGTGCGATATTGAGATAATAATAAACATCAACAGTCACTATATATATACTACTACCAATATCGCACGCATACATATGGACAAGTCGTAGGTAGAACAATGAAGGCAGTAAAGCCATGGAGCGCGTTCAGATTTTCATCCGAATCTACTCCTCAGGTATCACGTTATCTTTGTTTAACATTCAATGAACAACAAAGATAATATGATACCTAGATAGCACTTGAGTGGGACGCGTCCTTGGAGTTTGATTTTCAGTTTAGAATCCTTTGAAAACAGATCTGTTTGAAAAAAAATACGAAATTATTCTTTACGCTAAGAACTATCAACACCAAATCTTTGTTCATAATTAAGAATTGCTGTAGGTAAATAGAATACTTAAAATTTGACGGTGAGATCTCTTAAAACAGGCACGCATAAAGTCCCTAATTCGCATTTATTGTCAATGAATTATTATGCCAAACGTGAAAAGTTACATGAATTTTTTTTCACTACATATTGATATATATTTATTTATTTTTTTGCATACCACCTCACGTGTTCGATTAATTATGTAAACTGGTCAAATACGCCTAAATTCTTTTCTTTATCATCTTCATTGGTCTTCATTACAAAATATAACTCAATCAATACATATCCAACATTTCTAGCGAAAACGAATCTTACAACAGGTCAAGATTTCAGTTATTTATTAATTCGTGAATTGGAAAGATTATAAACAGAATCTTCTTTTCATTATATAATTTATTATCAGAACAAGATCTTAACGCATTTTGAATGAAATAGCTTAGTATGATATTTTACTGACTTTCTTTATTCTAAAAATATTGGAATTTAAACTGTTTAATCTCAATTTAAATTTTAGTTTAAAAATTTTTATTAAGATGAAAATAATTATGTCATTCTATGTGTATCTTTGTGAAGAACACATGTGTGCCTATCAATCTATTATATCTTCTATACAATACCATAATAATTTTCGCTAGATATGTATATCGCATCTAGTCAATAATAATAAAATAAGATTTTACATTAAAGATATTTGTATCAAAGAAATTCTAAAATTATTTGAATAGTTCAATATATTGAAGAAAAATATATGTAATTCTAAAATTATTTAATAGTTTAATTTAAATCTACAAATCAGTTACATTGTACTTATAAACAATAATTAGTTGAACTAAACGTAATATATTATAACAGCTTCAGACCGACTAAAAATTTCAATTAGCATAAAGTTTTTAAAATTTATAGTTTTCGTTGTTATTGTAAATTATTTAAATTTTGGTCAGTATTTTTAATATTTGTATTTGGTATAATATTTTAGTGGCAACTATTAGAATCTATCACAAAACTCTTGATAATTTATTTTTAATATTATTATTGAGTTAAAAAATAAATTGTTAGTATTTATTAGTAGTAAGAGTATACTAATCTACATTATTTTTATTGCATTATTTATTTAGCAATTTAAAAAGGTTATATATTTATTAAGGAATACTGACCAAAAATATACAGATTATATATTTTATATTTATAATAACACGAATTGAAAATGTTTTTTCATTTGCAAATTTATGAATTTAAGTATAGATATATACTTATAACTATACAAGATGTCCCAAAATTAATTATCTTATTATCTGTAACGTGTAAATTTTTAATCCAGTGAACAAAAACGCAAATTCAAAATTACTGCTATTTATCTTTACATAGGAATTTGAAGTACTTACAAATAACTGCTTAGATTGTGCTTGTATTTTCTTAAAGTTATTATTTTTTATCACTTAATCAAAGTTTCAACTGATATATTATTGCAACATGTCTAGGTATCTTGTTTCTAAAAAAAAAATTATATTAATAATCCAGCTTTTCTATAAGTTTTCAATTTGTATTTTCATCTATTATTTCAGAATTTCAGTAGAAATAAGATAATTAATTTTAAAATACTCTAAAATATAAGACACATTATTATCATCACGTTATCACGTTCCTAAAAAATTTTATTTTAAAAATATTTTATAAAATAGGCAATCTGTTTTCACTTATTTTGTGATTTCGATCTTAATATCGTCAATATTTTTGGAAGGAAAGAAAGAAATCCCGAATTCTTAACGTATCGTACATCAATACAGCCTTATCTATTGCTTGGCCTCAGAATTATATAAGAGAAATATGCTCATTTTACTAATAAATATAGCGTTCAGAAAATATCTGGGAATGCAAAATGAGTGAAAATAATATTAAATGAGAAATGTATCTTAGAAATAAATAAAATAAAATTCGACTCATTTTTTTAGAAAAATCTAAATAAAGATAACCAGATCAATATGAGAATAAACGATGTCTGTCTTGATTGAAGAGAATGTTATAGAAAATGTTCCATTGTTTGCATTTTTGTAATATGCTGCATCACTTATCTCACTATTATCGTATGATATAATAATGAATATAATATATTATATTCATATCTATATAATTTGCAATTACCGGCTCTTGTATATTGGCCTGCTTTTCCTTATTATATTTATCTTAGGAAAATCAATTTATATACAATGATACTATGTCATCAGAACGATATTCCATCCATAGGATTCCATCAATGTTTATATTCACAATCATGCACAGATTATGCTTCCAAAGAAGTATTTATACTGAATATGTTAAACTGCTTAAACCAATACATTTAATGTAAATTTGAAACTTTTTTATTACATGTTATATTTCTCGAGTATACATAATGTACGCAGTTTCAATTTTATCCATACCCTGTGATACGCGATGCCTTTCAATGGCTTACTAATAATAAATAACTCTCCTTGTAAAAAATAAATGTATTAAAACAAATAATTGAAAAAATTGATTTGTCTGCCTCTAAAATTAAATATCTATCTGTGAAATTAGAAATGCTCCAAATTATCCCTTTTTCTTTTTTTTCTTTAAATTTATTTTCATTTCTCTTTCGATTCTCATTATTAGTGTAAAGAACGTTATATTCAGTTATTCAACTAGATGTTGAATAAACTTTACTCTAAAAAATCTATTTTTTAAAATTCCAGATTACGTTTCAAGAGGGTTAAACAAATTTTGATTTTGGTAAAAATAGGCTGAACAAAAACACCAAGCATTCTTCTTTATGCCTTGCTACATTTCTATTTTTAATGTCTGGTATTCAATCAAATGTCTTAGCTTAGCTAAACAGAATAGAAAGGTGTAGGAAAGCCTATAAGTAGAAATGCTCGGCACACTCTAATCGTGACTGTGAGTACAAATGCACTGTGCATTATTAATGCACTCTATCTGTGTGTACACTAAGTCAGTGGTTGCAACGTAGCCGTCCGCGTTATGTTAGTTTTCAGGCTAAACTTGATGTCCTAAATTTGTTTAAAAATGACATCACACCAGTTTGTGCTCCAAGCAGAAAATCACATAAACGAATTGCTTCAGTTGCGAGCAATTGCGTTTTTTGCGTTTCTTCCTCATCGTCTCTTTAAATTTACGCCAACACGCCATGCGCATAGGATTTTTTGGATCCCATTCCGACGATAGTCTAAAGGTTGCTTTAAACATCTATAAAAAATATATATATTAAATGATAACATTCGAATAATTAATCAAGAATGGTTCAAAAGATAGTTCTCATCCTTCTTCCATTCAAAATTGTTTGTCGCCTTCGATCAATGCGTTATACTCGTACATGCTGATTGGCGTTCCTTTCATCTGCATGGTTAACGCAGGTTATCAAAAATTCTATGCGATTCGATTCGACCATGCAAATGCTTGAATCACACACCTTTACTGTCATCCATTATTGAATCTTAAATAGCTCAACTCACACCCTTGATTTTTACTACACTATAGATTTTTTTATATTTTTTATGTTATTTGTAAAACGATGCAAGGGAAAGAAATAAGGAAAAAGAAATAACATTAAGTTTTTTTTAGATAACTTTGTTGCGGTTATTAAATAAATCATAGAAAATATTTGCAACAATTTATATACATATATAAATAGATTTAAATGCTGCTGCATTTACTTTGTATCTGTAAATAAGTTTTTTTGAAGTAAAATATGCTAATGACAAAACATTTTTAATTAGATTTAAAAAATGAGAGGCAATTAACATTTATTTTTCAACTGAGAAAGACATTACGAAAATTCATTTTTATTAAGGACTTTCTTGATAGTTTGTTCCAAGGTCGGCAGTAATTCGCAGTAAGTGTCTACACACTTGGTGGCACACTTTTCAAATTCTTCGGTATACCTGTCCACTTCAGTTTGAGTCGGGTTTGGCCCTATTTTGTCTTTTATATTATCATTGCATTCCATTATGCATCTTTGCAAGCGATTCTGAAAATATCATATTTTACAAACTAAATAAGAAAACAATCGCTTGAGAGACAAGATCTCAAGTTAAGGTGTTTAAGTACATATCTCAAGTATTCCTTAGCCTCCTTAGATATCTAACATTATGTAATCCTAATAGTGTGGGTATGTACATACATATACATATACGTATATGATGTATACGCGCATGCAGTTATCTATCTCTTAATGCTTTATTTAATATCTCCTAATGTAAAATGTTACAAAATACACAAGCAGCCAGAAATTAAATAAATAGAACAAGTTTGATTACCTGTACCCGTTCAAACTCTCCTTGAACGTATTGCTGTGCTTTATACATAGAGGAACTACAATTCTCCACGCAGGCATGTATTTTTTGTATGCTATATGTTTCATTTTCACAACATTGTGCAGCACACATATGCATATCTCTCTAAAATCAAATTGATTTTATTTACACTCACACGAACACATACATAAAGGGTTTTCCTTAAGGAGATGCTAAAGTCGTCCGTTTTGTAGATATGTATGCGTGCGATATTGATGTAGTAGGGTGCAGTGATGTATTTATATAAGATATGAAGGGGGATAAATAATAACAAAATCAATTTGACAAAATAAATCGATTTTTCAAGATCACATGGATGTCCCTTTACTTTTTCATATGGAATGATTTGTTTTCTAAATAATCCTCTGACTAATTATTCCGCATATAAAAGTATTAGCAAAGTTATCGAAAAATCGATACTTTATGAGAAAATATGTTTATATATACAGTGTTCAAAAAGTCTTGGGGCACCTGAAAAATCATAGAAAATAAGTTTTACAGAAAAGTGTTTAGACAAAAGTTGTTCGAAAAGATCTATTTATTGATTTTATTGGTTTGACCTTGGGTGGCGTCGTTAAAGACAGAGTAAGATCATTTAAAATTTTTTTAACGGAACCTCTCATTTTTCATTGCTTCTTCTTGTAGCTTATCTCGAGAGCTTTCCAAAACATTATAATAAAATATTTTTCCATTAATCACTTCTCGAGTTATAAGGCTTGGAAGTTACAGTACCACCGGCATTAGTATTATCTAAGGTGTCCGAACAATGGCTGAAACCTTTTGAATGTTGTTCAGGATCATGAGCTTGACAACATGTGTCAATACCAATTGAAGATTGTTTCTCTTATTTTTATTTTTTGAAAAAAAGAGAAACATCCTCCAATAATCATGATCTTGACACATGTTGTCAAGCTCATAATCCTGACCATTATTCAAAAGATTTCAGCCATTGTTCGGACACTTCGGATAATGCTAATGCCGGTAGTACTGTAACTTTCCAAGCCTTATAACTCAAGAAGTGATTAATGAAAAAATATTTTATTATAGTGTTTTGGAAAGCTCTCAAGATAAGCTACAAGAATATGCAAATAAAAATCGGGAGTTTCATTTAAAAAATTTAAAGTGATCTTGTCTTTGGCGACACCACCCAAGGTCAAACCAATAAGATCAATAAATAGATCTTTTCGAACCCTAAAACTTTTGTCTGGACCACTTTTCTGTAAAACTTATATTTTACATGATATTCAGATGTCCCGGGACTTTTTGGACATTCATGTATATATATAATAATTATATATATATATAT